AAAGGCAGTAGGAGTATACTCAAGAGATTAATCAGGAGGGAGAAAAGGGGACATGACATAGCTTTGACAAATAGGGTTAAGGAGAATCCAAAGGGATTCTACAAGTTCATTAAGGACAAAAGGGTAACAAGGGAGAGAACATGGCCCCTTAAAGATCAGCAAGGCCACCTATGTGTGGAGCCGCAGCAGATGGAGAGATACTAAACAAGTATTTTGCATCAGTGTCAATTTTATAGAGGAGGAAGTGCTGGGCGTCTCAAAATGCATAAAGGTGGATAAATCACTGGGACCTGATCAGTTGTACCCTAGAACGCTGTAGGAAGCTAGGGCCCGTTGCTGAGACATTTGTATCATCAATACCCATAGGTGAGGTGCCGGAAGACTGAAGGTTGGCTAATGTGGTGCCATTATTTAAGAAAGATAGAAAGGAAAATGTAGGGAACTGTAGACCAGTGAGCCTGACATCGGTGGTAGGCAAGGTGTTGGAGGGAATCCTGATAAACAGGATTTATATCTATTTGGAAAGGCAAGGACTGATTAGGAATAATCAAAACGGCTTTGTGCATGGGAAGTCATGTCTCAGTAACTTGTTTTTGAAGAAGTAACAAAGAGGATTGATGAAGGCAGAGTGGTGGACGTGATCTATATGGACTTCAGTAAGGTGTTCGACAAGGTTCCTCATGGTAGACTGGTTAGCAAGGTTTGATCACACGGGATAGAGGGAGAACTAGCTATTTGGATACAGAACTGTCTTGAACGTAGGTGGAGGGTTGCTTTTCAGACTGGAGACCTGTGACCAGCGAAAATGAACAGTGGTGGGTCCACTGCTTTTTTGTCATTTATATCAATGATTTGAATGTGAACATAAGAGGTATGGTTAGTAAGTTTGCAGATGACACCAAAATTGTACGTGTAGTGGACAGCAAAGAAGGTTACCTTAGAGTACAATGGGTACTTAATCAGATAGGTCAATGGGCCACGGAGTGGCAGATGGATTTTAATCTAGACTAATGTGAGATGTTGCATTTTGGAAAGGTAAATTAGGGCAGGATTTATACACCTCATGGTAAAGGTCCTGGGGAGTGTTGCTGAACAAAGAGACCTTGGGGAGCAGGTTCACAATTCCTTGAAAGTGGAGTTGGAGGTAATAGAATAGTGAAGGTACCTGGGCTACCACAACTGGACCCAGTATCCCACAAGAGGCCTCACCATGGCCTGTACAACCTCAACATGACTTCTCAACTCCTATACTCAAAGGACTGAGCAATGAAGGTCAGTTAAGTGTACATTTAACTGGATAAGTGACCTCACTTTGGAACCAATTCCTAAGACCTAAATATTTTTAGACTTTACTGAGAAATGCAATATATGTAGTACATAAATGAACATTCCTTCTTTCTAACTGTGCTGAAGAGTCTGTCCTTGAACTTCCAACAAAGGAACTAACTGGATGCCTGCCATCTCATGACTAAAACAGTAGGCTTGTTTTTCCTACGTTGAACAACAGATTATTCCGATTTGTGCAAGCCTGTGTTAGGTGATCTCTCACCCTCGGCATCACTCTCTATGTCTTTTAAAAACAGTATTTGAACATTGCCTGAATTGATTGTAATGAAGACCCTCTAGACGTGAATCGCCAATGTAGTGAAATCTGAAGAAATCAAGAGATTTGTTTTCTCAAATGCAGACGGTGATTGGAAGTAATATCGTTATCCAACAATTAATGCAGTGATCTCATTTTCCTCCTTCCAATTTTACCCCCAGATTCTTGCTGGGATGAAGTTCTATAGATGATGGAACCTGTTATTAAGACAGCCTTAACAAAGTCAGTGGACTATTCAACGACTTGAGGCCATTACAAATGGTTCTGCTTTTACCTATTCACAAACACGCCAATTACTCACAATTACTCAATACGACTCAATCTGCATTACAATAAAATTTACACAGTTAAATCAGCTTTGGCAGAATTCAGTGGAATTTTCTGCTTTGAGGTTGATTTGTTAAGCTACTTAGCTCAGTTTCAAAAATGCTTAAAACCAAGCAGAAGTACAAGCTGAGAAATTTCCAGCAGCCCGAATCACTTTTCTCAACGATCCCCGTTTATGTCAGTGAATCGGTTTTTGCACATCCGATAAAATTCTGCATCATTGCAAACATGTTCCTGAGAGCTTTTTTAAAAAATCTATTTCATACACTTTCAGCCTTTTGGAAGGAACTTGGTCACAGACTCAGTATTTGCAGCAAATCCAAATACATCAACTGTTGACACCCAAACAGAATTGGCCAGATAAAAATAAACAAGAATGAACATAAATTTACTTTATCTAGTTAAAAATACATGGAGACACCAAAACAAAACTAAATCAACCTTGGCATTTGGTTTAAAGCTTCTGGAGGCAGAACATCAGTTTCAGAAATTACTAGCACTGTGTCTCAATCACCTGCAAAACAACAATACTGTGTTGCAATTTTGAGCATCAAGCAACAAACACAATAGAAATATAATTGAATGATTCTAGGATGCAACTAAAGTGCAGTACAACATTGTACCCTCAGAAATCATGTTTTGAAATAAATTCCATCTCTGAATATGCATGAGAAGCATTCGGAAACGTTTCCTCTAGTACTGTAAATAGGAACTCAACACCAAAACTAAACTGTTGTAAACGTAACCAACGACACAAAGTTCAACAAAGTTTTCACAAGTTTGTGATAATTAAAATCATAACATTCAGCGATAATTATTTTCTTTTTAAAAACAAATTGTATTCATATAGTGTCTTTAATGTGCTACAAAATCCCAAGTTGCTTCACAGGAAGTTCAGAAAATTTCCTCTCTAATGGAGTTTGTCAGGAAAACAGGGCAAATGAACAATCAAAAAATTTCACAGCCTAAGTCAACAGAGCATTTTTCGGTTGGAATCAAAGGGAATGTTCCTAAACCACCACCACCTCTCCGGCCAGTTTTACCCTCAAAAAGGAATGCCAAAAGCAAATGGTAGCCAAGATGGAGACAGTACAATGCTCCAGTTTTTGAAATGCCAGGCATTACAAAATGTGAACACTGTAATTATTGAACAACATACATGATAGAACATAAGCTCCAATTCAGGAAACTAAGAGTTCAGCCAGAGAGTTTGTCTCAAGTAAATGTGAGGACAAACTGCAAACTGGATCAATACAAAATTTTAGTGATACCAGTTCTTCACAATAAGATGCACACTCATTTGAATCACGTTTCAATGCCTGTGCCAAACGGTGTGTATACAAGACTGATCTTTTCATTAATGGTCCACACCAGAAGGAGAGTTTCCAGTGAATATTACTGCCGAGCAGCCTAACCTCTTTATTCTCGAAAATAAGTAACAAAGCAGCCGGCCCAGTCACTGTCTCTAAACCAGACTGATTTTCTCTGCATCTCTCAACATAATGACAGGTCTTCCAATAATGATCATCCTTACTTAAAGCAGTGTTACAGACTTTACAAGTATTTTGTCATAGGCCTGTCTGGAACAAACACATTTTAAGGCCAGCTAAGTGAATGAAAATAGTCTAGATTTATGTGGTATTCAAGTCTCTAATAGTCTATTTTTGCAAGAGAAAGTACAATTGGTAAAGGAGGTCTGGTGCAATTTAAAAACATGATCAGCGGAATTGGACACCACCTCAGAAGAACTTTCAAACTTTTCCTTCTTAGCTACTCTTTTTCTTTAAGAGTCACTGCTCCAGCAGACCACACCTTCTAGACAAATATGATGTCACACACCAACTGTAGGTCCATACTGAACGGCATTCCTTCCACTGTTGTTGCATGGCAAGTGCTCTCCTGCATTAATGAACTATATTTTAACTGCTGCTTTTGAGAGAAGAAAAATTGAATGGGTCAAAGTAAGAGCTAGAATTCTCTGACCCTGCCTGTTTCTGTCATCATCTCTGGGATAAAAAAAACAGCAATGAATGAAAAGCAAATTGACAAAATGTTCACAGACCTCAGATCTACAGTTTTTGCTCCTGCTGAAGATTCAATTCTGCCATTAAATTCTTCCTTCTTTCATTCAAACAATGCTTGATAATTGACTCCTTAATTTTCGAACAAACTGACTTTTTCACTGGAGTGGAGTGACAAAAAGAAAAAAAGTACATCTGAAATTCACTGAAAGGGGGTTTAAAAAGAGCAGAAGCGATTCCCTCTCCTCACCTGGTCATGACACTATTTCAGTTTCAAAAGGTAGTTGAAAATACACAGCACTGAGGAAATTAGTAGATTAAATGGGTTCACTGGAGTCCTACTTGTGCTTTGAACACAGCAAGACATAGATGAATGTAGCTTCTAAAATTTCAAACACAAATGTAGACTTCAAATAGCATATTCACGACCAGGAATCCAAACACAGTTTGGCAATCTTTACAATTATTTTAGGATCAAAGGCAATAATATGGATCCAGGCAAAGGCAGGTCGTATATCTTGCTTCATCATTCAATCGTTTTTAATGTATTCTAAGATGCTAAATGAGCAACCTCAGTTTGGAAGGGAAGATATTTACCTATGATCTGGCCTGAAGGCTTGCATCTTTGTCCACAGCATGGTTTAATGATACTGCACAGTGAAGCGGTAATGTCCAGGAGACTGCCTTACATGCATTTATATGGTGGCTTTAGTGTGCACCTCTTATTTCAAAGTTACTGATAATTTGATTGATTTAGTGCAGAAAACACAATATGACTTTGTTGCTTAGATCGCTAAATGATTGGCTAATGCAATTTTTCAACTGGCAATTGGACTAATTATTTTAAAAGGTGTGCAACCTGACAGTAACTAAAACATATTTCACAAAGTGCTGAACAAGCTTATTGTAAAACAAGTTTCACTTATTGGTTGTAAACTACTTTGGGATGCCCTGAGGATGTGACAAACGGCCATACAAAATCAATTATTTTTGTTTTTTTTACTCAATACCCAGAAATAATCTTTTACAATAATGTTCACAAAGCTTACTTTTTAATCTGTGTTCCACTTCAGAGAGATGGAGCTGAGCAAAACAAAAGAAGTACAATCTGTTGAGATGAAAGCCATGTCAAAATTGTTATTTAACCAAGGAATGAGGATTAAGTAGTGTTCAGTTATTTTCTTCAACAGGGTCATGTGGAAATGGCAGTTGTAAGACGATGAGATGTGTTATTGATAACACAAACCCTGACGGCACTCGTTGAATGAACACTTGACGCTTTATACTGGAGGGCTGTAGGATAATCGTGATTGGTATCAGCAATTACAGAACTGCAGCACAACCAAATGACAAGAGCAGCTTTGGGAAAGGTTGATAACGTCAAGATAACTTTGACTGGGGGATAAATATTCTGAAGTAGATCTTGTCACTTGCATAAGAAGAACTGCTAAATTAAACCCAATAAGTCGACTTCCAGTTCAGACACAATAGTGGTTGGTTCAATAACTACTTAGCAATTATGGTGAATTAGCAGCGGTATAGAATTGTTCTACGGATCAAAGAACTTCAAATGCAATTTTGACAACATTTTACCAATGATTTACTGAATCTGGGTAATGCTGGCACTCCCATTAGTCCAAGACAGACTGACTGGTTCCAGATTTGTCCCTGATCGTGTTATCCATTTGTTTCTCAGTCATAATATTAGTAATCAAAACACAGGCAAAATTGAAGGTTTGACTACATGCATCAATTTTTCTCTGATTCATGTGGCCTTATTTATAAAGATACGTCAATGAAAAAACAAATTAGCATTTTTCAAATAATGAAGTATTAGCGCCAGGTAAAAACATTTAAATGGAATCCAACAGTTCTGGCGAAACTTCTGAGCTTTTCCAAACAACGTTTCTACGATACAATGTCATGAAAGAACTTCTACAAAAACCTAAAATTGCAAGGCTGTTCAACATATTGACAGTTAAGAAAAGAATTAGAGGAGGAAAATTGTGACAAAGTACTTCATTTGCTGCTTGGAGAAGATTCTACTCCGAGTGTTCTAAGAGGCAGCACTCAGGGGAATTACTGCCTCTCAGCACTTTGCAAGTTATAAATCCACTTGCTGCAATACAAGTTTAAACATACACCAAAATGTTTGAATTTGAATTGTCAAGTTGCTCGATCCAAAATTGCTACGCGATAGTTTAGGGTTGTTTGCATGCTTGAATTGTCAGGAAAATGGCATACAATGTAGTTTTCTGGACACTATTTTGTATTTCACAACATCTGAAAATGATTTATAACAAATGCATTAATATTTGTGCATGAAATCAATGATTGCTACATGAATACTTGGAAAGTAGTGACTCAAATATTGCCCTAATTTTCAACGGAAAGTATGCACAGTGGGTAGGGGAGCGCAGGCAGCAAGTTAGGAAGCAAGAGGAAAGGTGAAGAATTATGCTGGTCCTGAACTGGACAGCACTAGTTAAGTTGAATGTTACATAAATTTGGAATAAGACCAAAAAAAAAGTAGCAATTGCGATGGTGAGAACTAGTACTGTGGATGCAGCTACTTTATTTATTTGAGAGTTTTGTATTTTGTTGATTGTTTTTGTAGCAAGTTTTTTGGGTTGGTTGTCGAAAAGAGAACACATTTAACAGGATATGGCTGACGCTGCTGGTATTAAAGTGTATAAACACCTAAATAATTTTTGCTTGCAAAGGTAAACAATAACCTAGTTACAGCTAACTTCTGATATGAGCATATCCCAATTTGTCAACCAAATTAATATTTAAACAACAAGAAGAATCATTGGACCCAGAGCATTAACTCTGCTTTCTGTCTACAGACGCTGTCAGACCTGCCTGCTGAGTTTCTCCAGCAATTTCGACTTTTCTTTAATATGTACATAAGCTGGGTGATTTAGCAAGCTTTTTAAAAGAAAAGTTCATGGAGGGACAGTCTCAAATCAAACTGGAGTAGACACAAATTATCATAATTAGATCGTTGAGAAGTGTTTAAAATGTTCAATTGAGTAGGTAAAAAGAGGAAATGGAAAGCAAAATTTGCAAGTGGTGCTATTCACTTGTGATGCATTTCTGGAGCAATTAAATCTCATCTGCACTGAAGCCAATGTAGGTTGAGAGGTAGTGTCTTGTGGCATTTTGGTCATGTCCCTGCCTCAGAGACTGGAGACCCTTATTCAAGTCCCATATGTCCGAGAAATGGGTCATAAAACATCTGAGCAGGATGATTAAAAGAACACTGCAGTGGGAGAAAATATATTTCTTTTCACATTATCCCAGCCCAGTTTTGTCATCTTCATCTCAAGAAACAAATTCCTGCTAAAATTCCATATGTATCAACAGCATTCTGGCCGACCACAGTCATCAGGACCAAGAACTCTGTTCAATTTTCACCCACACTTGCATGGAGATTCTGAGGCGTAATACTGCAGCTGCTCATCAAAGAATCGCAATCAAAAGTGGGAGATTCCAGTGTGGTTGACTTTGTCTGATTCTGGGCAGTGCCATAGCCAGAGTATATTACATGATAATTTCTTGGAACTTAAGATGTTGTGGCAATTACAGAAACTTGGGTAACTCAGGGACAGGAATGGTTGCTGGAAGTTCCAGGATTTAGATGCTTTAAAAGAAACAGGGAGGGTGGAAAAAGAGGCAGGGGAGTGGCATTGCAAGTCAAGTATAGAAGTACTTAAAGGCAGTTTGAGAATGATACGTCGACAGAGTCAGTTTGGGTTGACGTGAGGAACAAGAAAGGAGCAGTCACTTTGTTGGGGATTTTTTTACAGACTCCCTAATAGTTGCAGAGAAATGGAGGAGTGGATTGGGAGGCAGATAGTGGAAAGGTGCAGAAGTCACAGTGTTGTAGTCAGTGGTGACTTCAACTTTCCAAATATTGATTGGAAACTTTTTAGTTGTAACAGTTTAGATGGAGCAGATTTTGTCCAGTGCATTCAGGAAGGATTCCGGACACAGTACACAGATAGACCAACACGAGGAGAGGCCACTTTGGATTTGGTGCTTGGCAATGTACCGGGCCAAGTGTTCAACCTGTTGGTAGGAGAACATTTTGGCAATAGCGATCATAACTCTGTTACCTTTACAATAGTCACGGAAAAGGACCGGTACATACAGCAGGGTAAGGGTAATGACAATTCTGTTCGGCAGCAACTGGGTAATATAAAATGGAAACAGATACTGTCAGGGAAGAGCACTATTGAAATGTGGAGATTGTTTAAGGAATGCATACTGCGTGTGCTGGAGATGTTTGACCCTAGCAGGAAGGGAAGATGCGGTCGAGTGAGGGAGCCTTGGTTCTCCAGAGAGGTCGAACAACTCGTCAACAGGAAGAAGAATGCTTATTTCAGGTTTAGGAAACAAGGATCAGAAAAGGCTCCAAAGGGATACAAGTTAGCCAGGAAGGAGCTGAAGAAAGGGATTAGGAGAGTTCTCAGGGGGCATGAGCAAACCTTGGCAGATAGAATCAAGGAAAACCCCAAGGCTTTTTACACATACATGAGGAATAAGAGAATGACCAGAGAAAGGGTAGGGCCGATCAAGCATTGTGAAGGAAATTTGTGTACGGAGCCTAAAGAGATAGGAGAGGTCCTTAATGAATACTTTTCTTCGGTATTCACAACTGAGAGGGACCTAGTTGTAGAGGAGGACAGTGTGAAACAGGCTGGTAGGCTGGAGGAGGTGGATATTTGTAAGGAAGATGTACAAGGAATTTTGAGGAACTTGAAGACAGATAAGTCCCCTGGGCCTGATGGGATTTATCCAAGGATTCTGTGGGAAGTGAGGGAAGAGATCACAGGGCCTTTGGTGATGATCTTTTCGTCCTCACTGACCACAGGATAAGTGCCGGAAGATTGGAAAGTGGCAAATGCCATTCCCTTGTTCAAAAAAGGGAATAGGGATAACCCCAGAAATTACAGGCCAGTTAGTCTTACTTCAGTGTTGGGCATATTATTGGAAAGGGCTCTGAGAGATAGGATTTATGATCACTTGGATAGGCACAGTTTGATTTGTGATAGTCAGCTTGGATTTGAGACGGGTAGATCATGCTTCACAAACCTTACTGAATTCTTTGAAGAGGTGACCAAACACGTGGATGCAGGTAGAGCAGTGGATGTGGTGTACATGGGCTTAAGTAAGGCGTGTGATAAGGTTCCCCATGGTAGGCTCATGCAGAAAGTAAGGAGGCATGGGACAGGGGGAAATGTGGCAGATTGGATTCAGAATTGGCTGACTCTTAGAAGACAAGGGGTGGTAGTGGACGGAAAATATTCAACATGGTGCTCAGTTACGAGTGGTGTACCACAAAGATCTGTTCTGTGTCCTCTGGGTCCTTACTTGAGAAAGGATGTACTGGCACTGGAGGGGGTGCAAAGGAGGTTCACTCGGTTAATTCCGGAGTTGAGGGGGTTGGCTTATGAGGACAGACTGAGTAGATTGGGATTATATTCATTGGAATTCAGAAGATTGAGGGGGGATCTTATAGAAACATATAAAATTATGAAGGGAATAGATAAGATAGAAGTAGAGAGGATGTTTCCACTGGCAGATGAAGCTAGGACAAGAGGGCGTAGCCTCAAGATTAGAGGGAGCAGATTTGGGACTGAATTGAGAAGGAATTTCTTCACCCAGAGGGTTGTTAATCTATGGAATTCCTTGCCCAGTGAAGTAGTTGACGCTACTTCAGTAAACGTTTTTAAAAGATAAGGTAGATTTTTTTTGAACAATAAAGGAATTAAGGGATACGGTGAGAACGCGGGTAAGTGGATCTGAGTCCACGAAAAGATCAGCCATGATCTTATTGAATGGCGGAGCAGGCTCGAAGGGCCGGATGGCCTACTCCTGCTCCTAGTTCTTATGTTATGTTTTGTTCTTCTCTTTGTGATTTTTGCAAATGATTTGGATGTAGGATTGGAAGGGTGGATGATTAAGTTCGCGGACAATACGAAGGTGGGTTGAGTTGTGGATAGTGCGGAGGGCTGTTCTTGGTTACAAAGGGACATTGATAGGATGCAGAGTTGGGCTGAGAAGTGGCAGATGGAGTTTAACCCTGAAAAGCGTGAGGTGATTCATTTTGGAAGGACAAATTTGAAAGCAGAATACAGGGTTAACGGAAAGATTCTTGGCAGTGTGCAGGAGCAGAGGGATCTTGGGGTTCATGTCCATGGTTCCCTGAAAGCTGCCACTCAGGTGGATAGAGTTGTTAAGAAGGTGTATGGTGTGTTAGTTTTCATTAATAGAGGGATTGAGTTCAAAAGCCGTGAAGGTATGCTCCAGCTGTACAAAAGCCTGGTTCGGCCACATCTGGAGTATTGTGACCAGTTCTGGTCGCCTCATTACAGGAAAGATGGGGAAGCGTTGGAAAGGTGCAGAGGAGATTTACCAGGATGTTGGCTGGAATGGAGGGAAGGTCTTACGAGGAAAGGTTGAGAGAGCTAGGGCTTTTCTCTTTAGAATGACAAAGGATGAGACGTGACTTGATAGAGGTGTGCAAAATGATCAGCCAGAGACTTTTTCCCAGAGTGGAGGTAACTATAATGAGGGGGCATAGTTTTAAAGTGAATGGAGTAGAGAAAGGGGACATCAGAGGTAGGCTCTTTTCTCAGAGTGCTGTAGGGGCGAGGAATGCATTGCCAGAAAGGGTAGTGGAGTCGGCCTCACTAGGGGCATTTAAGCGGCTATTAGATCAGCAATATGGACAAGAGTATAAGGTAGGGGTGGAAGTCAGATAGACCTAAGGTTTAGGGTAAAAGTTCGTCACAACATCCTGGGCCCAAGGGCCTGTAGTGTGCTGTACTGATCTATATTCTGTGTTCTAAAAGGTTTGGAGGGATGTGGGCCAAACAGAGGCAAGTGGGACCGGTTTAATTTGGGAACAGGGTTGATATAGACTAGTTCGGCCGAGGACTCTGTTTCCATGCTCTGTGAATGGAGCTCCAAGGATATGGGGGGAACTGGTGGGATGGATAATGAGCCCGGACCGAAATGACGGATGCAGCAGGCTGGAAAGGACGAACGGCCTCCTCCTACTCCTACATTCCGTTTCTGTTGCAAACATTGGGCCTGCAAAGCTTGGCGGAGGAAACAGGATGTTAAGAAAACATCTCCTCACCTCTAGCTGCAGCCGACTTCACTCTTCACTCAGAACGTTCCCAGAAAAACAAAACTATCTTCATCACCAACATCAGCAGCGCGCGTGCGCCAGTGTCTCTGCCCCAAACCCACTTCCGCACCTGCGTATACAGCCCTGAACTGAAAGAACATTTCTCACCGCAGTGACTGCCGGGTAGACCAAACGTTGTTGATATCGGCACATTCTGAATGCACCTGTGGCGTGGTTGACATTTTGTGTCGGGACCCGTCCTGAAACATCAACTTTCCTGCTCCTCTGATGCTGCGTGGCCTGTTGTGCTCCTCCGACTCTATCGGAACAGCTCCCTCCTTACCCAGTACTGGTGCCAATGTCCCACGAAGTCTCCCACAACAATCTTTGAGCGTGCCTTTACCTCTTTAATCTTGTTGACCCTGAGTCAATTTGCTTATGGCTCAGGTTGTCATCTGGAGATTATCACCTTTTTAATTTAGCACCCAGCTGCTCATATTCCCTCAGCAAAGCCTCTTTCTACTTATATCGTTGGGACCTACGTGGACAACAACTGGATTTGAACCCTCCCGCTCTCAGCTCCTCTGCAGCCCAGATGGAATATCCCGAACCCAGGTACCAGGCAGGCAACACAGCCTTTAGGACTGCAGATCCCAGCCACAAAGAGCAACATCCATTCCTGTGACAACACTATACCCAGTTACAACGATCTTTCTCTTTTCTCTGAGCTCTTGAATGGTTCTCTTTGTCACGGCACTTTCAGCAGTTTGCTCATCCTCCCTTCTGCCCCCACTCTCATCCACACAGAGCAAGAATCTCAAACCTGTTAGACAAGGTCAAAGGCAAGGGTCCTTTAGCATTACCTCCTGCATCTCTCGAACCACCTTGCTCAGAGTCACATCCTCCTGTCCCTGACCACAGCAGAATTCAGGGTAGTTAATCTAAGGGGTCTGAGTGCCTCCTGAAATACAGCATCCAGTTAACTGTCTGCCTGAGTGACATTTCAATGTTCAAAGCTCATAATCCAGCTCTCATCGACTCCAAGCCGCAGTTCCTCAAGCAACCAACACTTGCTGCAGATGTGATCACTATGAATTGCAATGGTGGCCACCACCTCCCATATTGTGCATTTACAGCACATCGCCTGGCCCAGCTTCTTTATTTTAATTAATTGCTTCTTAATTTGATTTCTTTAAAAATCTTAGTAGTCCTTTAGTTTGCAGCCTGCAAATTTTTCCTCTATTCAACTTCAATCCTAGAGCAACCTACAATAGATAGCCAAATAAGCAGCTATAAATCAACCAACGGACTCATGGTTTACCTATGTTGTGACTTCTTTGGGCCCCCTATACTGGGTTTCAATTTATCCTGTTTAAAAAAAATCCTGAGAAGCTATGGACCAAAAAGCACCCCTTCCCCTATGCACCGAATTCCCATACTGCCTCCTCCTGAACTAGATGCTTACTTAAACTGTCTCACTTCTGACCATGCAAAGCTTGATCACCTTATCCCCTGCCAACAAATACACAGTCCATTCATATTCAAGCTCCAGCATATGAAAAGATTACGTATTGTTGACCGAGTGCTACAAAGCAGTATTACATCATAGATCTGTCATGCCATCTTAAACTGGGGCAGGGGAAGGGGAGGCGGCGCATAGGTGTAAGTTGAGCAGTTGGGCAGGCCACATGCTGTTGCAGGGAACTGAGAGGAAGCCTTCGATGTGGCGTGCACCCAAAAGGATATGCGCACAAGAAATATTTTGCCAATTAAGCAATCACTTGTCAAAGAGCATGCAGGAATTTGACACCAACCCTGTAAAGGGCTTTGCATAAAGCTTACAGCCTGTGCTTTCCAGGATGAAAGTGGTGGACAAATTCATTACCAGACCTGCGGGCCGAACTCCAACACAGCATCCAATGCCCTACGCTGAAGTTACCACAAGCAACCCAATATCAGAGTGTGACAGTGGAACATCAGACTTAATTCATGCAAGCTTCACCTGTTGCTGCACAAGTTCAAACTGCTGTCATTACGATTGCTGCAGTTCTCAAACATGCTTTCAGGATCTCACTGCAGTTTCAACAGTTTGTCCTCAATACATTGCGAAGATTGCTGATGAACCTCTCTGTACAAAAAACACCTGCTCACTGTTGCCTGTGTGAACAATCTACATAAACAGTTGCCTGGAGCCTGCATCTGAAGTCTGGATGCATGACACAGGCACCATTTTGGTTCAATTTGGTATTATTTTTGCCTGGGCAGGATGTAGAGACAAACTTATTGAACATCTATCATTTTCCACTCAACCTTAAACACTGAATCCCAAAGGAGGCAGCACTACCTCTAGACCACACTCCGTTGCAGGTGTTCACTGAAGCTGCTTCTTAAAAGGGACCAGAAGCTGCTGACAGGGCCTTGGACTCTCCTGAATCAGACCAACAACATCATGGATACCATTTGACCCATAGGTGGAGAGAATTGCCGTGGATCCATAGGTGGAGCCTGGTTTATAAATGCCAGAGCCTGTACACAGCTTGGTGATGGTATATATCACCGCTCTGGGCACCAAGGCCCTTCCAAAATCTCCTGCAATTAGCCTAGAGGCATGGCATGCTTGACTGCAGTCTGTTGCTGCACCCTACAGAAAGTGTGATGATGCAGAGGCTGTGTGCTGACAGGAGTGTCTGACGGACCAGGTTCCATCTTTGCAGGACGCTATACAGTGGCAGTGGATAATGCAATTTCATTTGATATAACATCAAACTGTGGCACAAAATATTGGCACACAAAAATAAAGGGCTATGAAAATGAATTCAGTGGTCTGTAAGTCTTTGAAAGCACTTGAACCTATTGCATTACACAGCACAAGGCAACCATCTTTTCACGCTTGCTAACATGATTTGCAATCATGCAACAGCTGAAAGCACAAGAATGACTCATCAAAACAGTAGTTGAGAACATGAGTAATTTAAGTAACATTACATTTCATTTAGATAAAGGCAGTAGCACTGCTGCTAACTGAAAACTAAGATGGAGCAATTTAATTGCAAATTTAGACCAATATCCTCAGGGCCCAGCCTTCAAATGGATTTGTCTCAAATATTACCACAGCACAAATCTTGAATTCATCAAGTTATGTGTTAGTACTCCAGTGTCACATCCCTTCCTTGTTACAATTGAACTATAAAATAGGTACATTTTACAACTGTTCAAGAATGAACTAAATCACACTTTATCAAACAAAAGGTGTCGCTTAGTGGATTTTTAAGACAAATCAGCTCCAGTAAGCTGACACTGAACATCCAACTGAATCATTACCATTATTAATAAATATGGGATACTGAATTTGTATACTTAGCCATCTATAATTTAACACTGAAATTATAAACCATCCCAGATAGAAAAGCTACCGCCACTTAGGAAAGCTTTGCAAAGCTCCAGACAAATACCAGGTAATGACTTTTTATCGCTAATGTGTATTACTCAATATAAACCATGCAATTTTGTCTGCACATACAAGATATAGGCTGGTCTTGATAATACCTGTTGTATATTTAAATGACTTGGGCTCAAACCAATCTGTTTACAAAACAGGATAGCTGCTGGATATCAGGAAAAAACAATGAGGTCCACTGGAATACTATGCGTGCTAATGAGATTCAACACAACCACTGCTGACAAGATAAATCATGCAGACAGTGCACATATTTCTCAGAAAAATAATAAACTTGATTTGAGGCATGATCAAGCATAAACTGGCAGTCAACAAGGATATTGTGTTAGTGTGACTGTTAGTGTACACAAGAAAACATGCACTTCAGTACCAAAAGCACACAAGTCTAAACTTTTTATTTTAAGATTTATTCAACTTACTCCTTCAAGTCCTAATGTTGTGAAAGGCATTCCACTTCTACACAGTTACAGTCAGCACACCACAAATTCTATTTCCTTCGTATCGTTTTCTCACAAGAGCCTTAACTTGTATTCAAAAACATTTCCATGGCGAAACAATCTCAAATCAATTAACTCAGCGTAGTTTGAGAATTTCAATTTGGATTATTCTGTAAATAAATACAGTCCTCAAAGAGTCAATAACTGAGTCAACTTGCGAACAGACACAAGCAGTTTCCAAAACTTAATGAACATTTTGTTCACAGAAATAATGGATTCTTCGGGTGCCAAAACATGAAATATTTTACATGGTTTTAAAATATTACCAAAAGCTGGAATCTAAGTGAGCAATTCAACTTTCCCAATAGCAATGGAAGAATGATGCAAAGTTCAGGGTAGTTTTTAAATTGGCCATGGTCTAACAGACTTAAATAGAATGCAACCAGTAATTCAAGGATAGAGCTAATCAACACTCATGCAAATCTGAAAATGTGGAAATTTCAGTGGATGAATCCTGAATGGCAGGATACTGTTAAGCTACACAACTATTTTGGATTATCTTAAATGTAGAGATAGACAGCAATGAATGATACAATTAAGATAGCATGTAATCCAAGACATCATGATCTCATCTCAGGGACTTAAAGAGTCTAACCAAGGTTTAAAAGACATCCTGGACAGGTTGCTGCTCAAAAAGTGGAGTAGACAAAGAGATTGACTAGAATGAGCAAAGAATGGTCATTTCAAAGCAATGTTACAGATGCTTAAAACCAGAAGTAATAGAAATTGCTGGAAATGTTCAGAAATCCTGGCATCAGCGTAGGTACAGAGTTAATACTTTGTGTCAATCCCCTTTTGTGAGATTCTTTTGAACTTGGAGATCAATCACATGGTAAGAGATGGCAGAGGATCCTCCTCCCATACTTCACGAAACATCTAAATGTGGAAAATTCCCCTCAGCACTCCTCTCATCAAACATGAATACGAATCTGTTAAAAACAGCTTGATTTAATAGGAGGTTGATTCATTTCTGCGATGCATGACTCTTTATATGCAGCCTCAACTCCTTCTGCACTTCTGCAGTGATTTGAAGAAACAGCAGTTACTGTGAAAGTTTGATGGTCTGCAATTGTACTTGGTAGAAATGTAGCCAATAGAATCTACCTCTGAGCATTACTCTTGCATCTGCATGCACTGACAATCTTGCCTTCCATGTTGCTTCTTTCATAATTCTACTCAACTGTGAATGTTCACTCCAAAAAAC